GGACCCCAATCAATCTGCCCGCGGCTTGGTCAGTCACCTCTAGGGATGATGAAGTGCCCCAAGCACAGGATGGTGCCCCCGAGAAAAAAATATAAGTCGTGGAATTGACCCCATCTACTGTAAATTATATAGGCCCATAAGTATCATACACTCTTGTTATTATAGTTATAAACCAACTTAGCTAACTCTGGTGCCCCCATCCTGTACTATATTGTGGCCGAATAGAAAGAGTTTACCAACCAAAAGCAGTAGAATGTTGGGATGAGTTCGTCTATAAAATCTCACTTGTGACACGTGTTGTCAGGTATGGGTTACTCGGATGGTATGTACCCATGTTACCCAGGCCCTTGTTAAATCTGAATGCCTATTTTGTTGCTTAAGTTCTGTGTGTGTGTGTGTGTGCGTGTCGGTGTACAACAAACCATCTTGTTACTGCTTACGCCCCATGAATAATTCATTTCTCAACGCTACACTTGCTACGATCTACAGCATGTGTGTATGTTGTCCACCCATCCATCCATCCATCCATCCATCCATCCATCCATCCATCCATCCACTTATCTGTCCACCTATCTATCCATCTATCTATATTCATGTCACTACAAGTTATCTGTATCTATGAACATATAAATGAATATACATGCGTGTATAGTATTAGTATATATATATATATATTAGTATATACATATACATGAATATACATGCTTCCCATTCTGTCGCCCGCGAACGACTTGTTTACCTTTTCCATCTCGGTGTACAGATCGTAAATTCGCATCCCCTTCGGTAATCAAACATGGCTGAGAAACCCCTATTAATCCCTAAACCCCTGAGGCAAATAGAGGTTTGTTGAGGAGGTGTCCAAAATCGAGGTATCCCAAGTCACCATGGCTTTCAATAAAACGGTCTAAAGATGATGAAATGGGGTACCCCTATGACTCAGGAAACCTCCATATAGATGAGATGAAATTAGTCAACAAAAACAAATCATAAGGGTTCCATAGAGATGAAAATCATCGAACTATAGATGAAATGACATGAAATGAGTATCATTCATGTGGGTAAACAAAAAACATAAACCATCCCCCAGTCATCATCATTTTTATAGGTGGGATTGAAACTATTCCATACTATTCCCACATTAAACGGAACATGTTCCAAGTCAGCCCTTACCTTCGACGGCGGTGAGACCTCTTCCAGGATCACAGGTTGCACGGCCGAGACTTTGGGCTTCTTCCAGAAGTTCAACTTCCCCAAGAGACTCGGTGATGACCAAGTGAATTGAAATTGATGACTATTGATGAAATATGATTAAAGAGGTGAAGACTCATGGGATGTCGCCTGAAGAGTAAATGAAGAAAAATTAAGAAGAAATCTAGACTGGTTGGTGGTATACCTCCCCCTCTGAAAAATATGAAAGTCAGTTGTAATATATGGAAAATAAAAAATGTTCCAAACCACCAACCAGTAGAATTCGGAGGCTTGAGCCTCAGACGATAGTCGATATACATCGAGGCTCACCCCACATGTAAATGGTCAACAAGCCACATGTAAATTTGGGGCAGGTACCCCCCACCAAGTTGAATAATACTCCGGGAGCCCAGGGCCCCTGGTTCTTTCTGCTTTGGGCTTCCCACAAATATGAGAGAAACACTCAGCATACTTAACACTTCTAATAACCCTGGATATGTGACCACTGTGTTCACCAACAAGAACAGCACTACAAGTCATTGATTGATCCCACCTGATTTTGGGAAGTCATGACAGTGTGCGATTTGTGATTCATGCCCCCCAAAAAATACTGCTATGGCTGCTATGGTTCATGAAAATATCAGTTTGCACTAAACATTTGCCATGTTTCTTCAACGAAATCATCGGATTCCTGAAGGGATTTGATCATTCTGAGCCACATCAGAAAAACTGGTTTCCAATTGAAGATGAACTGAGCGCCGGGCCCCATGGTCAGGCCACCTGTCAGATGTTACTCTGGTGGTCATCCAAGGTCGAACGGAAAATTGTTCACATGTTTCCAACCACTAACCGGATAGAATTAGTAAACCATTGTCTAACAACCAAATACGGAGTGTATATGAGTGTATATATACTAGATTCACAGTGATTCACAGATTTCAAGAACCAAATACAACATAATACAACTATTGCGACTGTTGGAAACAGTGATTTTCCATAGTTAGTGGTGAGTTTCTCTTAAACGGTGACATCCACTCGATTCATCTCCAAATTCTCCATTGTTGCTGTGCCCGGTGCAGCTTTCAGCTGGTAAAATATGGAGTTTGGCATCCAGAACGAAGGAAGATGGGCCAACCATGGCCAACATGGGGATGGACCAAAGGTGGGGATTGGATTTATGATATGATAGTTAAGTTGCTATGTACGCTTAAAATCCACAGGATTTATGATCTATGGAATACTATGGAACTTTTATGGAACTTTTTGAGTCCTTGTTAGTAAATGGCTAAGAAATGCGTCTGCGTAACGATTTTTTGTGGTTGGGAAACTCCAGGTTGGAACCACCTGTTTCCCCATTTCTTTTGGAAGATACTCACAGCTCCGAATCGCTCTCAGCGAGGCAAAATCTGGGCCCACTAAATCAAGGCTGACCAGATTCCAGAATTGATAACCACATATCAGTTTAGAATGGGGCCCAGATATGGTGGTTCTACTGATCAGATAGAATATTCATAACTATTTAAAACTGATTGGTGGTTCTAATCTGGGCCCCATATTCCTGCAATTTGAATCAGTTTAGAACCACCAATCAGTTGATAACCCATCCAACCCTGGAAAACCACACCATAAATCCAAGTAAAACAATCCAGATTCATCACCCCACAGTTGCAGATATGGATTCGCGCCTCTTTAAATAGGGATTATTTTCACGATCCAGAATGGATGATGAAGCTTATGGGACAATTTTTAGAGAATCATATTCAGATAGTTTGCACAAGACATATATAACAAGACATGTATTGTTTCATGACTTCAGTACCCTCTGGTAATTTAACACAGCTATGAAACATCACCATTTTTAATGGGTAAATCAACTATAAATGGCCATTTCCAATAGCTACGTTAAATTACCAGAGGGTATATCCCGGATATCCCAAAAAAAGTTCCTTGATATAGGGATTCTCGGTGTTCCATGACTGATCCTTAACTCCTCACTTCAAGCTGCGACCAAATCCTGGCCTTAGTGCCCCCAGTCCCCTTTGGATGTGCTGAATGGCTGCGGGGCGAAACTGTGATCTACGAAGATGATCATCTCTTTGTCTGAAAATTGAAAGAATATCATGGAAACAGTTGGAAACCCCATTCCATCCGGGTGGTTTGAAGCTATAAAAAAAAAAAACAACAACTTATCTGGTTGGTCGTTTCAACCCATCCCCCAAAAGAAATATAGGTCAATTTGGATCATCCCAAAAATCGGGATAAACATAATCCATATTTGTTTGAAATCACCAAATGTTTTTCTTCATGGTCAATCTTTGATAGTCCACAACAAATCAAAAAAAATCGTTTCCATCCAAGCTTGGGGATGCTCCCATTGTTTCTTGGTAAAAAAAAAAGAATTCCCTCACTTCACTATTTCATGGCCAGAGGAATATCATCACCTCAGAAAAAACAAAAACTGCCAAGCTTCACCAGAGGTTGGTAACTGTCCCATTTTGGGTATATTGGACATCACCTTATAGTAGCCATCTAGTAGACCATATACCATTCATGGTTGGGTGATGTGACCCATGGGGACATTTAATGACCCAAGCTTCACCAGCAGAGGACGTGGGTTTTTGGCTACGGAGCTACCCCGCTGCAGGATCCCAACAACTCACATTGAAAACCCCAAGCCGTGGCAAACGTGGCAAGTTGAAACCACAGATGTTGAGAACAGAAAGATCATTCCCCTTCCGGACATTTCAACATGGGCATAAAATCCATCGATTTTCACGGGACCATCCCGACCAACCTTTGGCAAATTTCGCCTCTGGTCATGCCTGAAAATGGCCCATTTATAGATGATTTACCTATTAGAAATTGTGATTTTCCAGTTCGCTATGTAAACGTTTACCAGAGGGTATATGCAATGGTTACCCCAGCTGAGGATTGGCAATATTACGTTGCAAAAAATTGGCAATGATTACTAATATTCAATCTTTTTCACAATAGTAAACCCCATTGGCAATATGATTGGTTGTATACTCATGTTAAAACCAAAAAAAACATATAACGTATTTAAGCCCTTAAGAACGGGGTATATACCCTCTGGTAAATTAACATAGCTATGGAAAATCACCATCTTTAATAGGTAAATCAACTATAAATGGGCCATGTTCAATAGCTATGTTGAATTACCAGAGGGTACCTCATGTATATTTTAAAGCCCGTTGCTTGCCAAAACGGACATATCCCAACCACCGCCGTTTCGAATCATCCATCGTGACCATCCCTTGGAAGGATTCAGACGGATGATATGGGTGTCAAGACATCCGTTGATGACGTCGAATCGGGTTGGGTCGAAAATATTTAAAAAAAAACAAAAAAAAAAAAACGAGTGAAAAAGAAATGATTCTCAAGTCCGTGAAATCTTAATAGCACCCAATTAATTCAAGGTGTACCTTCTTGCGTTGCAGCTAGGGACCTTTCCCGCTCGGCATCCAATTCCCGTTTACACTGTAATGAGCCTCAATACATGGCCGTTTGATGGGGAATATGTCTTGGAATTAGGGCGTGCTCCCAAACAACCCTTTGATGTAGAATATAATGAGCAACCATTGGATATTGGGGTATCCTATTTTCATGGAAACCTGTTTGAAAACAAAGAACCAGTCAATTTGAGATAGCCAACTTTGACCACCCTTCGCTGCCCGAGATCCCAAGAATTCCATGGGAATTCCCCACAATGGATTGTCACAATCTCCAATCTAATCATCATAATATGGGTTGGCAGCCACTACTCACCTCTCTCCCAAACCCATGTGTTTTTTCGCCAAGTTCTCCGCGGTTGGTCAGCGCGTCTACGCTAAGATGTGGCATGATCACCAGTGCCATCAGCGCATCAGTGAATCAGAGTCCTGCATAGCACGCATGAAGGGCGCTATCTCCCATGCTATAAATTGGTCTACAAACCCATCTAACTATCTATCTCTATATACATATATATATATATATGATCCCGGTCCCCGGTCCCGTAGCCCCCCCCTCCCCCCCCAATGGTATGGTCCCCTACTCCCTGACCTAGAATCTTTCATTTCCATGGTATTTACAGCATTTCATGGTATTTACAGCATTTTGGATGCAAAACTTCATATTTCCATGGTATTTGCACCAGTTTGGATGGAGAACCTCATATTTCCATGGTATGCACAGCATTTTGGATGCAAAACCTCATATTTCCATACCAACATGCCAACATACCTATATAGATACATACCTACATACCTTCATACCTACATGCATACATACCTACGTACCTAGGTACCTACATACCTACATACCTACATACCTGCAGACCTACCTACCTACATACCTGCAGACCTACATTACATTACATACACGCATACACACATACATACATACATACATACATACATGCATGCATACATACATGCATACATACATACATACAGACATACAGACATACAGACATACAGACAGACAAACAAACAAACAAACATACATATATACATACATTACATACTTGCATGCACACATTCATACACACATACACACATACATACCATACCATACCATACCACACCACACCACACCACACCATACATGCATACATACATTCTACTCACAATACTACCTACTACAGGACCCAACTGCCTACAGGACCCACCCAACTCACACATCCACAGGGGGGAGGGGGGAACCATGACATGGGGGGGGATGGGGGGCGGGTCCCCGAACCTGGAGCATATATATAGATACATTGATACATATATGTACATATATATATATATGCATTTATTTATCTATCTATCTATAGATCAATGGTAGATAAGTATCTAACTATATCTAGCTATATAAATCGATATATATATATATACACTGTATGTGTCATCGGTCAAGACTATGGCAGCCGACCGTAGTCAGGCGTAGTCCATTTTCTCGGGGTTCGGCGGAATCCCAAAGAGCCGTGCCAAAAAAAATATTGAATGTGTATGTATGGTCCCGTGTCCCGTGTTCCCACCCCCCCATGGGATTGGTCCCCAGGTAGCACCCCCTTCCCTTGTATTTGCAAGCTATTGCCAACATTTCTATTTGCTAGGTCTTTGCAGCATTCTGACTACCAGCCTCGCATTTACTGGGTACATGCTACCTTTTAGACAACCTACGTAGCACACATACTCCCTCAAAATACCTACGTGCTACCTATAGTTATAATTATAAATACATGTGCTATGTATCTACTTCCTTTTCTCTACATATAAGAATATACATACATAAAGATTTATATATACATTATATATATATACATATACATACAAATATATATATATACACATACATATACATATACATATATACATAAATATATACATTTTGGTGAAAAAACAACATGTATACATATATATATATATGCATACATATATATATATAAATAGATACAAACATATATACACATGTATTTATATATATATATATACACATACATATATATATATATATAAATACGGCGGCACCCGGGCGTTAGCCCTTTTATTGGTAATTATATAGGCCAAAAATCCAATCGTTACCTACTTGTATACCAACTGTACTTACCTAGGTTCCCCTTCTTGCATGTTTAAGACCACGGCAGAACATTGGATTGAATCACCGAGCAAACATGAGATTTGGCGAGTTGCTTGAGGGTTGTCAAATTGCAGTATCTCAACATTTTTGTACCAGCGAAAACCAGTCAAATCTCATGCAATTAACTTAGGGACATCAAGAAGAAACAACTTCTGTAGCCAGGATGCGCTGGCAGTTTCCCAGAGTGCAGGACATCCCGTGGTAAAAACCATGGTTTCCTGTGGATGTTCCATAGAAACACAGTGCATGAAGAATTGCAACCCCATCATTGCTTTTGCCTGCTACAGGCCCATCCTTGCACGACTTGGGTGGTTGACAACCCCAAGGTGCCCTTTGTTGGGGATGCTTGAAATGAGGTACCCCCGAAATGACCAAGATTGATCCAGTGAAATGGGAAACACAATTATAGACCAAACCATACCAAACCCATCATAACTCATCATTGCTGCTCGATAGGTCGCTATTGGTTCTAGATCCCTACGTTTGTTGGTTACCCCGACTTTTTGGTTGCAAAATTTGTTTTGTTGTTCATAAATGGCCACTTTTCGAATGGTCAAATCAGTGCGATCCCAGTTCTCTGGGAATTTCAACTTCAGCCACTCCAGCCATATCTCCTTAGCCAAAGGGGCTTGTTCTTGCTGCGATCTCCTTGGGTTTCGCAAAGGGATCGGCAGACGCCTCGCCACGTGGCTCCAGGGAGTCACACCAGTGACTCAACTATAGGGAATATAAATATATATACATAAGCTATAAACTATAGGGAATATATATATATACATAGGCTATAGGGAATATATATATATATATATACATAAGCTATAGGGAATATATATATATACATAAGCTATAGGGAATATATATATATACATAGGCTATAGGGAATATATATATATATATACATAAGCTATAGGGAATATATATATATATGCATTATCATAGTATATCATAATATCATACATAGCCGCCAAATAATCTTAATTTCTGGATGATTTTACGGCCACGTTGGATCCAGATGGCGAATTTTGTTTGGTCGTGATTTTGAGGCCAAGAAAGTCTTTCGGCGGAGAGCCGAGTCAATGATCAACTGGGGTAGGGTACGGGTCAACATGATTAAAACCCCATGGCCGGTGTCTCTGAAAAAGCCTGATTTAAAGCCAGCATATTGCATTTTTTTCAGGAAATATACCGTCTGGTAACCTAACATAGCTATTGAAAATGGCAATTTTTAGTGAGTTTTCCCATGAAAAAATGTGATTTTCCATAGTTATGTAAACGTTTACCAGAGGGTATCGACTTCAGAACATTTTTGGGGGGGGGGCATCCGCTTCCCCAAATGGATGCGCATCCTGAACTCTTTTTGCATGACCATGACTGGGGGTACCCCAAGCTCGCGAAAAGTTGATTTATTTCATGGAAAATTAATGGAAAATCTCTAGGCTCTAGACTCTAAAATGGATGATTTTCTGGGGTAGCCCTATGACTTATGAAACCTCCATCGCCTCTCCACCACTCTTGGAGGATGATCATTAAAATGTTGGGACGATCTGCGATGATTAAAACATAGTGGTTTCAACCAACCACCTGGAAAGTTTGCGTCAGTATCATCATCCGAGAAAAGGGGGACACAAAATTACTTTCTTCGAGTGATCCACAAACTGACAAATTATTCTGGCACAGTTTCTGACATACCATCTGGCAGCATATACGGGATATATTTTTTGACATTCTATTCTGGCATTCTATCTGACATTCTATTCTGACATTTTATTCTGGCATTCCATGTGGCATCTATTCTGACATCCTATCTGGCATCCTTTCTGGCATCTATTCTGACATCCTATCTGGCATCCTTTCTGGCATCTATTCTGACATCCTATCTGGCATCCTTTCTGGCATCTCTGACATTCTCTCTGACATGGGTACTGCCGGACCTCAACCGCGAGCGCCAGATCTCAGTGGGGAGTGCCGACTTCAGTTGAAGTCCAGCAGCCGGAGAAGGAAGAGAAGGCGGGCGGCATGCACCTCTGATACAATCTAGAGACCCTCACCTGGCAGGTGGGGAACAACATAGATTTGAAACCGCCAACTATGTACCCATTACATTTCATGTATATGTTGCTTGTCTATCTCCATATGAGCATATGTTTACTGTTTAGTGCTTGAACAGATGGAATATCTCATGTACCGACGTTTCTGATGGTTTTCCAGGACGAGTATGCGTGCCATGGTCAAAACATGGTATTCGAGGTATGGTCATCCATCCCATAATGGGGGTCTTGTAGTAATGGGCATATTAAAACCTATACATCGGGGGATTCCCATCCTATATATAATCATATCCGTGGTTTGACTATGGCATTTGTGGAAAGCATCTAAACAGGAACCAACATGACACCAGATATACAAAGGATTACATCCCCATCCGAATATACAATTGTTGCTGATTGTTATGCACCAAATTTGACCGTCAGTTGTTGTCGCTTTCTGTCCCAATTGCTAAAAACAATTACCACTTAGATATCCCAGCGTTTGCTTGTCAAAATCTAGACATTAATTTGATTGTTAATAACTCTAACAGCTGTGAAGGCCCCATTGTCCATCATTTTTCGAGGTTTGTGCGATAGTTTATCCAAATTCAGTTTTGCTGATTTCTCCGACCTGCACGGCGCTTGGCTGTGGTCGTGCGGGCGGACGATTGGGCGAGGGCCGTTGTGCCCGTGCCTCGTGTATCGCTGCGTCGGGCGGAGAATTCCAGCCCCCAGACATTTTAAGAGAAAGGTGGAACATAGGGGAGCATAGGGGAGCCATTTCTCACACTTGCGGATGTTTAAATATGTTTGTAACGTTTGTAGTTATGAGATTTACAAGATATCATGATTTAGTTCTGATCCGTGGGAAATAACCCAGGTAAAAGCAAGCTATCGAAGGAAGTTTCGAAGGAAGTTTAGAAGTCAAACTTCCGACAATATGGACAGATGAAAAGCAGAGATGGAAAGAAAGGGTCAGAGAGAAGAGTAGAAGAGAGGAGATCAGAGAAGAGAAAGAGTCAAAAGAAAGAAGATGCAGATGCGCGAAAAGGTAAGAAAGTCGCGAAACATTGCGTTTTTCCAATGATTTGTGGCTCCGGAGGGTCGAAAAGTAGGCTCGCTAAAGCGGTGGGTGCGGAGCCATCTGGAGATGAAAAAGT